AATAATAACCGCACGTATATGACTCGTCGATTTCCTTTCCCCTTAGACTCGCAAAGGTCTATGTTAAAAATGTGAGTCACTCTCTACAATTGTGGTATTTGACTATAAATACTTCAGTGATCTTTTTTTAAAGAAAGTGGAACTGAAAGGGTTAAAAGACAGTTTATTTCATATTTTTTTTATTCATCTTAAATAACAAAAAAAATTGTAAACAAAATTGTTTGACAGTCTTTTAGTATACAAACAAAAAATTCGTTACTTTACTTTATTAAATCAATAGATACTAGAAGGTCATGGTTGCATTCTTATAATTCACTACATATATACCAAAATATAAACAATAATTGTAGAAACAGTAAACAATAATATTTTATATTTGATTTCAATTCGCAAACAATAATTTTATCAGTTCCAGTATTTAATCACGTAATTCAACGCCATATACTTAAAATAATTTGTTTATAAATTATTAATCGTTAAATTCAGAATTATAAATACATTTTATGACTAATAAAAAACATTTTAAATTTCTTGTGTCACATCTGCATTTTCTAAATTTTTAGCCCAAAATGAAAATTTCCAATAGTGTGTTTCGCATAATGTTAATATTGTATTATTTAATGATTCAATTAGTTTTTGTTATAAATGATATAAACGTTAGAAGTTCAAAATACAGAGTGAGTCATGAGGAACCTTACAGACTTTTACCATATGTAGTGTCCCTTAGGGGGTACATCATATGAGCATTAAAAAATGGCAATTTCCCTTCATTTTGTGAATTTTTTGGTGAAAACTATACACTGTTATCTACCATTTAATTTAAATAAAGCGAAATATTATTTTACACGTATACATAATGGTTACGAATGACAAATAAATAATAAAAAACAAACGTCAAACTATCAGAATCCACCTTGACACATAGGTATCTACTATTTCTAATCGCTACTATTTCTAATAATATCTTATTTGCAACAATAAAATGAGCAATTTTTACTAAAGGTTATTAAATAATAGCATTTTCGTTCTATGTAGTTTTAGTTCTTATTTTAAAATTTCTTACAGTTGTTCGTTATTGTTATTCGATACAATTTATTTATTGTTTATTGACATGTTTGATTTAGTTGAGTAGTTTCTACAGTCTTCAAAAATATACAAGTCGATTTCTGTTTAAAATTTAAAAAATTATAACTGAACTAATCCGGACCTGCAAATTCGACAAAATGAGATTAACGGTGCAGTATAGGCACTATAAAGGCTTATATTCGACTCATTTCACTTCAAATGTACACAATTAATATGATTAAGAATGTTTTCTTTAAGTTATGTGACCCCTTAACGTAATTGTTCAGTTATGACCAAAATCGAAATTTAATGAAAAAAATTAACGAAAATTTTACAAAAATGTCACACAGTTTTGATTGTCTATCTATATACTTAAAAAATCTCTTATTATAATTTTAAATAATCGTATACAGGGCGAACTTTTTGATATGAATCGTTGAGATTAATTTTTCCCAAGTCTATCCTGGAATTTGTAACTTTTGAGGATATGAATTAAATGCTAGACAATAGAGTACAGTTCCACCAAAAAATTAGAGAACTGTAGTAATCCTTGTAGATTTTACGGTCATATAAATGTTTGTCAAAATTTACAAAACACCCCGTATATTAATAAAGAAGGAGAGTTGCCATTTTGTAATGCTCTTATCAGGGACTGTACATATAAGGTTCCTCATGACTCACCCTATATAATAACAACTCAAGCTGTGATGAAAGTAGATCATTGATATAAGAATAATGTCGGGACCCAAAACAGTTCCTTGAGGACCCTTGCGTTAATTACTACTGACACAATAAAAAATGTTTAGGACCAAATAATAATTAATAATAATAATAATAATAATTTTTTTTATACATTTGTTAATTTATTAATTTTTATTTTATATTCAATGTATACAGAACAAGTCTACATATACATAAACAGTTAAAGCAAATTGCAAATAATAAAAGATTAAAAATTAAATAAAAATAATATTTACACATTGTTTAAAACTCGAAAATATAAAGATATATGCACTCAAAAATGAAAACAGACACTTTAAGTTACATGAGATGTAATATGAATGGTATCTCAGGTAAATCTAAACTGATCTTAGATAACATAGTGGGTTCATATATTCTATAATATTAAATATAAATTAAATTAAAACATATAGCAACAATTTCTTCTTCTTTAATAAGAAATAAACATTGGATTAACACTATACTTCTACAATAAAAAGGTATAATATAGTTCTGTATCTGTAACATGTGGAGGACACTTAGACTTCACTAGGCCCATTACGGATTCTGACAGCCCCATGATATGGAGATTCTTCCGAAATTGGCAAAGACTAATAAGAATAAAAAGGACCATGTTCTTCTTATGGACATCCCCTTGCAACCAAGCCTCTTATATTCACATCTTCTAGAAGATGTTGAAGGTATAATAGAAATGTTTTATATAAATGCGTGAATTAATAATTGTTCCAAAATAGAAAATTTTGAAACATACAAAAGACGGTCCTGTGCTCACAAAAGCCAGGTATTAAATTATAACGGCCATTGCAGGCGGACGTGACAAAAGCCATGTATCCTATGTATCTCGCGCGAAGAACTGGTCGAAGTGACGTAATCATATGTTCATCTCTTTCATAAAAAAAATAAAAAGCCGGCAGAGCGATTCGAGCTTCCTAACAGTAAGGATGGTCTCTCCCATAAACATAATAAAAAATTCTTTGAGCAACGATATTGTAAAGTCCTAGTACTTAAGTAAGCAGTAGTTATTAAAAAACAAATGTAAATATGTACTTAGTTTTGTCGTTCAGCATTTGTGCACAATAAAGTGTTCTTCAGCGGCTTCAGGAAACAGTCCATTTTGGTAAGGTGCTTTAAGGCCGTATTTAATATTTGTGGGGATTCAACCATTGGAAATCCATCAATAATAATAATAATAATAATAATAATAATAATAATTTGGATTGGACAAATGCGCCGTTCTGAGACTTCAGAAAGGCCGTTGCGTAGACTAGCCTGAGAACGAGCAACTTACTAACGGAAGCATATTTCGTCACTTGGGAGATGACGAATCTTATAAGTGTCTTGGTGTTGATCAACACCGAAAATATGAGAATCCCAGCTTTCCGGAATCAACAAAGTTGCTGTCACTAATATGCTTGCCGTTTCTGTGCTCTTGTATTTATTTGGCGTGCTCAAGTGGAGGCGAAAGGAACTACGGGAACTGGATGTAAGCACACACAAGATGATGCATATGAACAAAAGCATCCACCCACGTCATCAAGGTGGCAAAGGTCTTCTGAGTCTGGAGAGGTTGTATGATATATTAACTGTGAGTTTGGCTTGCAAGGTAGTCAATACTGCGGACCCACTATTACAGCTGGTTCGAAACCATGAAACAACTGGGCTTTTCTTTTTAACGTTGCAGGTAAAGCTGCGAATGAACTAGGTCTTAGATTTGACAACCATTCTCTTACAAGGTTAGAACCCGCTCAAGTAACACGTCTAGTTAGGGCAGCAGAACAACAACTGCTCTTGGAAGGTTACGTCAGCAAACCCCAACACGGTGTTTTTTTACAGGAACATAGAATATCTTAATCTATATCGGGAATTAACTTTCTCCTTTCTTCGATCAGCTAATCTGAAATCTAAGACAGAGGGATTCTTGTTAGCTTGCCAGGATGGCGTAATTAATACTCTTGTATACCGCGCTCAATTTACGCATGTCAGATGCAGAACATGCCAACAATACCCGGAGACATTAAATGATGAGACCCCAGTTCTGCCATACGCCCCAGACGAAATTGAAGCGGAAGCCTATGCAGGTCCATCTAATCAAGCCGTTACTAATGACATTAAAAAAAAAAAATTTAAAGCTTGACAATTTACCCAGAATATTAGACAGATACAAAGTGTCTGATAGAGTAGATGCAGCAATTGCCTCTGCTACTCTAGTTGATGCAGGTCTTGTTAATAAATCCGATTAATCCAAAGTCATAGACCAAAACAAGATAAGAAGAGCGAGAACCAAGAAAAGAAGTGAACTACAATCCAACAGACCAATCCAGTTAATTCGTGGATTATATTTTGACGGCCGTAAGGATAAGACTGTGGTAATTTCTCTGGATTTAAAACGCCGAACATCTAGTGTAGAAGAGCACATCGTTCTAATCGAAGAACCAAGATCTTCCTATCTAGGACACGTTGCGCCTGTGAGTTCCAGTGCTGAAAATATTTTTAGAAGCATTATAGACTTTTTTGAAACTTCGTCAAAATCTTTAGAAAACGTAGTGGCACTTGGTTGTGATGGAACCGTTACAAACACAGGGCACAAAAGTGGAATTATTATTCGTTTAGAACAGCACATTAAAGCTTCTGTTCATTGGTTCATTTGTCAACTACATGCAAACGAACTGCCGTTGTACCATTTAATTCAGCACTTAGATGGTAATACAACAGGGCCTAATATGTTGTCGGGAGTAATTGGTAAGGTTGCGAAAACCTTCCTAGAGCTAAGTTTAAAACAATAAATGTTGTTCTGCTAGAGATTTCCAGAGAAATTTTAAGCACAGATCAGTTATACCTTTATGATATTTGCAAGTTTGTCTCGACCGATGTTTGTGACGACAGATTTCTGAACAGACATCCAGGAAAGTTAGTTTACTTCCGATGGCTTACCACCGCAAATCGAATCCTAAGACTCTATGGGTCGACTCAGGAATTGTCAGATAATCTGAAAATTTTGGCAGAGTTCGTTGCAAAAGTTTATGTTCCGATGTGGTTTACAGTAAAAACGTAACCATCCTGTGTTTATGGTGCAAAACATCTCTTTGACACTAATTAAGCGTTCAAGGTATTTGCCACTTGAGCTGAAACATGTAATCGACCTCGTTATCCAGAGAAATGGTTATTTTGGCCACCCGGAGAATATGCTTTTGACAATGTTGACTGACGAACGAAAAACTACCCGTGAGCTGGCAGTCAGGCGAATGAATAAAATTAGAAATCAAACGGATCTTCACACAGAAGTCCGAGCATTCATTTCACCCAAATTTAACTTCGATACAGAAGACTATTATGACCTATTTCAAACTTGGAAGGAAATACCTCTCACTGAACCACCTCTTTTAAAACAAGTATCTGAAGACAATTTGCAAGAAATTGTCAAAGACTACTCCAATTCTTTGGTCATTACGGAAATAATGGAGTTCCCTTGTCACACTCAAGCTGTAGAAAGGGCAGTTAAACTTGTGACAGAGTCTTCTTTATTAGTGACTGATCCAATAAGGCGCGATGGAGTCATTAGGAACGCCATTTTTTCCAGGGAAGTGATGCCAAAGTTTAATACAAAAAAAGATTTTTTTTCTACCAACTAGATATAAAAACTTTTAATATATTATAAGATTGTAAGTTTTTTAAATCTTTTTACTTTCCTATCTGTATACAGATATAAGGAAAGTATAGGAATCATGATTTTTTTCGACCTCGAGTTTTCGACGGATTTTTACGTTTTGAGGTCCCCTGAATCCGTTTTGACTATTTTCGCGATGATGTCTGTGTGTGTGTGTGTGTGTGTGTGTGTGTGTGTGTGTGTGTGTGTGTGTGTGTCTGTGTGTCTGTGTGTGTGTCTGTATAACGCATAACTCATGAACCGATACACAGAAAAACACCAAATTTTAAACTTAAGCTTTGTTTCAGCGTCCAATGAGCTGATTAGATTTTGGGCAGTGTCGGAACATCTGGGGGGGTACATTATAGGTGGTCATTTTTATATTTTATGGAATATATCTGTTATTTACGTTTGGAGAAGAAAATTCTTCAAATAAAAGTTACTTCTAATATAATTATCTATAATTTTTGTTTTATGCAAAATTTTCCTAAAATGGTCCGTATTCGAGAAATTTGACAAAATGTAAAAAACATAATTTTTTATAAAAATTGTTCAAATAAAAGTTGTTTATAATATAATTCTCTATAATTTTTGTCCTATACATAATTTCTCTAAAATGGACTGTATTCGAGATATTTGAGAAAATGTGTAAATTTCGAAATTTGAAGAAAACTCAAAAACGGATAAAGGAAAAAACATTAAATTTTAAACTTAAGGTTTATTTCGGCCTGACGTGAAATGATTAGATTTTGGACAAAGTTGGAACATCTGGGGGGGTACTTTATGGGAGGCCGTTTTTATATTTTATGGAATATATCTGTTATTTATGTTTGGAGAAGAAAATTGTTCAAATAAAAGTTACTTCTAATATTATTATCTATAATTTTTGTTTTATGTCAAAATTTCCTGAAATGGTCCGTATTCGAGAAATTTGACAAAATGTGCAAAATTCTGATTTTTATGAAAATTGTTGAACTAAAAGTTGTTTGCGATATCGATTTCTATAATTTTTGTTTATACATGATTTTTCTAAAATGGTCCGTAATGGAAAAGTGCTAAATTTAAATTTTTCTGTATTTTCGTTTTCAATGAATATCTATAGAAAAATGTTTCGAGGTAGATGTATGTGTAAAATGTATATATTTAGTTTATCCTCTAAACATTTATAGAGATGCTGCAATAGGTTGTACAAAATAACCGGAAAATGCCTATAATAACTAGATAGGAAAGTCATGTGTTGGACACATCAGATTTTTTCGATAATGAAAAAGTAATAAAACCACTTTTATCATGTTATATCAATTTGGTCCCTATTTTTTTTTTGTATGCCTTGCGGAAGTTGAAAGAAAAATTGGAACGAAAAAAAGAGTAACAGTGGTAAACTGAACAGAAACTTAAATGATTACACCCTATTACGTTTTTAAAATCAAAACAAAATATATTAAGGGGTTGCGGGGGTGGAAAATTTTGCACAATTTTTTTTTATTTTTATTTTTAGTTATCAGGTTTTAAAATCCCTTGTTTTGAGACCTGTTGCATTTCTTTAAGTAAAATTTAATATTAACGATGCACCCTACTCCGCAGTATTCAGTGGATCGAAATACATAAGAATTATGCTTGGTTTCGATTCATAAATTTTTTTTATTACTAATTATCTTATTTTCACTATTTTTACAATTTACTCGATATTGAAGGGTGGACGGCCCAAATTGACTTGCAATTCGGATTCAGCGGGTCAAAATACATGCCGGTAGGTAGGTCGTGTCTGATGTACAAAAAACTTTTTTTTTGTGTGTCGGTGAAAGGTAAAAAAGATTAATCATAGGTAATCTAATTATTTAATTTTTTTAGTATTTTAACTTTTGATCTACACACACAGCTTTTATGTATAGGGATACCCCTTATACCAATGTGTCACTAACATAGAAATCCAATATTTGGTCAACCATAATGTCATGGCTGCAGAAATTAGTCAATAAATGATGCAGACATTTCTTTGAAACGATCAGGATCTTGCTCAATATTTTGAAATAACTATGATGTTAAAAATCCTAATTTACTGGTACCATTAAATCAATAAATTTCAAAAGATTGTTATTATATATTAGTCATACTTAATCAAATCGTAATTATTGCAAACATTATTTTCCAACAACGATTATTGAGTTATTTTTTGGATCTTTAATTTCACATATTCGCAGAAATAATTTTATAAAATATAAAATACTATTCATTATATGTAACTACTTATATACATTAAATATAAACATTAATGTCATTATTTTATAATTATGGTCAGTATCACAGATAAATAGGTACGTACCTTGTAATTTTTTACCTATTATTGCTCTGAAAAAATCCGCCTGTGATGTTATTATTCTAACTAGGTCAAGATTACAACCATAAACTTACTCATAAAATAAATATACATTATTTATTTTTCTATAAAAGTAGTTATTTATTCGCTTTTTTTAAGAAATATCTAAATATAAGGAACTATTAGAAAAAAAAACTAATTTTGATGTATTATACTTTTTTGGAACACATTGTAACTATTAAATAACACGTCGTATATGCCTCACGCTGTATGTTTATAGGATATTGTTTAAATTTTCAACTTTATGAATTCGACCTTCAAGATTATGTTTAAGACTAGGTCAGGGATTATTCTACTCATTTTTTTTAATAAGAATATGCCTAAAACACAGTCGCCGATAGTTAAATATTTTAACTCACATTTCGGCATTATAATGTATTCCAAATTTGGTAAGAAAGAAAAATAATCAATTTTTTTATTATTTGCTTTAGATTTAATAATGTGTGACATAAAGGACCTTGAATTATAGATTCGCAGCACTAGTAACACACTTTTCACGTTGTAAATACTTCAAAAGAAAGTGAAAGAGCATTTCAACGAACTCTTCGATAGTTACAACATCAATCATTATAGTACGATAATACGTTTACCGTCATTTTATTTTGAAACTATAACAGAGTTACGTAATATATTACCCCTTAAAAAATTAAACCCTTGTTTCAAGTTTAGGGTTCTAAATTTGAAATTTAAAATGTTAAAATGTCATCATTTCACAAATGAGGCATTATTGAAAAGGAAATTGAACGGCCTTTCAAAAAAGGTGTCATTCACCCTCACTTTCCATTTAAGATTTTAGGGGAGTACAGCACCCTGTTCAAGGGGATAAAGATAGAGATTTCCCTTTGACAAACAATTTTTTTTATTGACATTAGGAATCTTAAACTTGAACCGTTTCATTTTCGTTAATCCAGCCTGTATATATTCGTGTCCATACAAAAACGTAATACTATAACTAATAATACTATACCAGAGCATAATGAATGGAATCACGCCTTTAAAACTGCAGAAGTTATCGGTATCACGTGCCAACTAGTCATAAATGCATGTTTATTGCTAAAATGAATTACACCAGTGGCGTATAAAAACTATTGGCAAATTAAATGCGGTAATAGTAAATAATATTAGATGAAAGTAGGTTGGTTATCTATTTTTGTAGTAATAATCATTTATGTTTATAATTTTGTTCTGTTTATTGTTAAAATATGTAAATATTATGCCAGTAGCGTAGAAACACTATTGGAAAGTTAAATGGGGTATTATACTAGAATAAAATATTGAAGAAGGTGCGCCTTAAAACTGCAAAAGGTATCGTTATCATATCAAAATGCACTCTTCCAGTGTCGCAGAAATACTATATTGGCAAATTAAATGGGTATTTGTGAATATTACTAGATGAAAGTAGGTTGGTTATCTATTTTTGTTATAATAATTCATCTATGTTTATAATTGTATTTTGTTTATTATAAAAATATGTAAATTAAGCTTGGTATCACTTAATTGAATTCTGAATCTATGAAGTTTCGTAATCCATTGATTCTGCAGAACTATCACTGGAATCGTCTCTATCGTCGGAACTTAAAGTTTGACTAAAGATTCAACTACCGTTTCGACCATACCGTCCAAGCGCCACATATTATTTTCTTCCTTAATTACATGGGAAATAGCATTCTGCCAATCTTCAGGTTTTATACGTTCTATACCGGTTTTTAATAAACTTTGAACGTCGGCTATTTTATAAGTTTTATTTTCTCGAGCTACAAACCCTTTCACTTGCGCCCAAATTAGTTCAATAGGATTGAATTCGCAGTAATAAAGGGGAAGTCTTAGTACCATAATACCACGATCACGAACCATTGTGTCGACAACATATTGAATATATTTATGGCGGTGTTCCTTTATTAGGTCGTTTAATTCCACTTTAAGCATCTCCTCAGTAAATGTTATTGCTTTATCCCGCAACCAGATTTGCATATCCGCTTTCCTACTGGACATTATCGGAATGCGTTCAACTCGTCGACTGTGATAAGAAGCGTTATCTAGTACAATAACTGAATTTCATTCTACACGCTGTTATACTTCAGTAAACCATTTTTCAAAGCATTCCGCATTCATTTCCTCGTGGTAGTCTCCTGTTTTTTTCAATATATACACAAGAGCGTTATTTTCCAAAAATCCACTGTCACTTCCGATATGGGTAACAATTAGGCGCTGTCCTTTACCTGATTGTGCTTTCAAACCTGTAGATAATCCCTCTATAAAAGCTTGGCGATGACTATTACAGAAGTATCTTGCCATATCTTAGATACCGTGTGTCCAGCATTCACCCACGTTTCATCGAGATAGTATATCTTTTTTTAGCGGCTTAAACCTTTAATATTTCGTAAATAACGGGTAAATAACGCCATAAAATTTTTCGTAAAGTTTCACGGCTCATTAATGTAATTTCTTCGTTTTCTTCGTGTTGGGGCTTTGTTTTCGAAAAAAAAAAAAAAAAAGAATGTACAGTTCTTCGAATGATTTGTTTTTGGTTATCGTCCAATTTCAACAATTTTCGACCACGGGTATGCGTTTT